GAACCCTGAACTGAGCTTGAAACCCCTTCTTTTTTGGCCACATGGTAATTAGAATAAATTTATTGTAAATTTATGTTTAATATAAGAATAAATTATTTAAAGTGACTTCTTTAAAGAATAACTTTAAAATGTAATTTCCATATTTTGAGTCTGACTAATGGGCAAATACAACAGTTGCATAAGAGATCTTGCTTAATAAAAGCAATAATTATAAAAAGTGTCATAGTGAAACAAATGTAGCCCTTTTGACCTGGGTTTGAATTAGAAGTATAATCACAAGTGGATGTCAAATCTAAGATCTTAAAAGGCAGGGTAGCATCTGGTGAGAGAGCTGCTTTCATTAGCAGAAGATCCTATGGCTCTAGTAAGGAGAGCAGCTCTAGATTACATCCACAGGTTTCCTTGTGCTACTCAAGACCTTTTTAAATCCTGCTATCATACAGGTCAGGGATCAGCAATATTCTGGGAGTGGGGTAATGGAGGAAGTGGGGCAATCCAGGGAAAAGCAATCAAGCCCAGATAAAAGGAAAGGGGGATTCGATGAAGGAGCAGGTGGATGGGGTGTTTTTTTTTTACTCAAAGCTGTTGTTGAAGAAATCTAACCCCCATCACCTCAGCCCTGATTGCCTGCAACGATGCGACTGTACACATCAAGCTGCAATTTTGGTGTTTTGAAGTGGGAAGATGATAAGGCCAGTTTCTGTCTGGCAAAGGCTTGATGTTCGGTTTTACAGTTGAAAATGTGGCACTTGCATTTAAGTGCTGAATGGAAAATGCTTTCAAGCAAATGAAAATGTCTTTGCAAAGCAAATGAAGCTACATTTACAATGCTAAAAATAATTTCTGTAGGCTAGGCTTAGCAGTTTGATTTATTCTGATGACATGAGACCAGTTACATTTTTTGTCCCATTTCAGAGGTCCTCACTTACATATATATATATTTAGACATGTCCCAAATTGGGTAACAGGTTTGCAAGCCTCATATGAAATGAATGGAAAATAAAACACCTCATGTAAAATTTAGTTTGACCTCCTAAAGTTGACTTCAGTCATTTTCTGAAGGTTAAACACTTACTTTTGCTATTTCTCGAAAAAGTTTCAGGCACTGATCTATAATAGAAAACTGGATTGCTCATGATGTCATGAAAATGAAGCCGCCGCGCCGCCATATTGGTATTCCCCAGTATTCCCATTGAATTAATAGGAAATTGTTCAAATCTAATGAAAAACCATCACCTAACAAGTCAGCGTTTTTATATCTGAAGTATCCCTGTACTTTCTTACAATGCAAACGGTTATTTGTTTAATGTCGGGAATTTCCCCTGCTTATTAAAATGTTACATTCATATACACATTACTGTAGCGAACATCAGATGAACTTGATGAACATCAGACGGACAAGATCCTCAACATATACACTCTTAAAAATAAAGGTGCTTCACGATGCCACAGAAGCACCTTTTTGTCTAAATGGTTCCATAAAGAACCTTCTGAAGAACCTTTCTGTTTCACAAAAGGTTCTTTGTGGTGAAAGAAGATTCTTGAGATTATAAAAAGGTAAGAAAGAGATGGTTCATTAAAAAACTTTTGACTGAATGCTTCTTTGAGAAACAAAAAATGGTTCTTCTATGGCATCGCTGTGAAGAACCTTTTAAGCACCTTTATTTTTAAGAGTGTATATAACAAATGACAAAGTGCTCATTCTGAAATCTGAATAAAGATTTATGCTTTGTATACCTTCATTCGCCTTGTAACGTTACAGTTATTCATTATTTATGTAATTTTGTTATAGTGTTTTTATTCGTACAGTAGGCTAACTGCAAATGTTTCAACAATGATTTTGTTAACAGCATTCATTTTGAAGCAGGTAATGATTTAAACAGTGGTTAAATTAATGATTAATTTAATATATATATATATATATATATATATATATATATATAACATTTTACATGGAAACGGTAATGCTAGTAAAACACCATATTTGCGTGATCTTGGAGGGTCTGAAATAGATGTTGCTCAATCAGGACATTAAAAATATACACATCATAACTTAATCAGAGAAATAACTGACTACATACAGTATGAACTTTAAGACAAGAAGCCTTATTTCCAAGATGATGCATGGTAAGCTTTTCATTTCAGTACAACATAAAGCAATATACTGTAGCAACAGAGGCTTGTATTGTATTATTGTATATTCAGATCAATTTCTGATACTAATACGTTCGTGTTTAATAATTCCTGAATAATAACGTACTTAAAGAAATAGGCTATATTTAGTGTTGGATCAATTAACGTTAACCTGTTTCAGCAGTGTGCAGCAGACACACCCCAACCTTAATGATTTAAATATAAAGCTTATCCTGGCCAAAAAGACCATAAACATTGCAGATAACATCTGAAGTAAAAATGAATTTACATACTGTACACATGACATAAAAACTAATCCCGTGTGACTGACTCGCTTCAAATCGGGTGATTTTAGGTCAGCAGTTTGACTGTGACTCAATGGTGCTCTCTGCCGGTAGGGAATAGTAAGATGGCGGCTCGAACACTTCCGGTGGCTTCACTGCCTGTCAGCAGTTTAGAACGCTACGAGCGTTCCAGTCATTATACTGTATATAGATTAGGGTTGAACGATTTTGGAAAATAATCTTAATTTAATCTTTAATCTTAATTTTTTTTAACCAATATTGCGATTGCGATTTAATATGCAATTCTTTTTTAAAGCTCTTTATGTTCTGTATTATTCAACAAAGACAAGCTATAAATCATTGTATAGTAGGACGAACACACTATTAGGTAGATTAAACATAAATGTTCTTTTCTGTAGGCCAGGCCTATATGTTACGATGAAATTAGGTGATGCATGAATTGATATGAATGACATTTTTATTTAACAACTACAATCACAGTTGTATATTGACTGATTTTTTGAACTTCCAAACTTGTAAGCATGTAATAATTATGACAACATAAAGCACAGACAAATAAGCGTGTAAACATTAATATGAAAGTCAGTAACAAATCACACAAACTAAAGTAGATTGCAGAAATATAAAAACAAAGCTGTTGCTTTACCACACTACTTTAGATAATTCAAAGTCACTGTAATAAACATGTGGACTGCACTTAACACTGTCTGTTAACTTGAGACCAGTGGTTCTCAAACTTTTTTGGTCGCGCCCCCCTTTAAACCTATAAAAAAACCTCAGACTACCAAATAATTTCACTAAACATTATGAAAAATGAATGCTTTATTAATTTAAAAAACCTACAGGGAAAAAAACACCTGCATCACTTGAAACACTGAAAAATAGCATAGAGAGAATAACTGCTGTTATTATTATTATTCTCTCTCGGTTATTTATTTATTTTTTGTGGGTTTCATGCTGTCCGCTGAGGCATAGGACACACACAGGCTTTCCTCCTCACCAACGACATTAAACACCATGTCTACACCGGACGCGAGTGGCAAAATACAGTAGAACCATTATAATCAATGACGCTGTCTACACTAGATGCTGCGCAACGTGACACGACAAAACCCGACATTAAACTGATGCCTTGTTCTATTTATCACGTACTGACACAAAGTTAAAATGATTTGCAACGGTCGCTTTGTCGTGTCCAGTGTAGAGCTGTTGCGGCACGACGCGACAACTGTAGCGTCCGGTATAGACACGGTGAGTGAAGCCGAGAGCAAGATATGCCTCGTCATATTTTCTGCATTTAGCTTTTGAATGACCAGCACCTGCCTGGGTCTGTGCGACTTCATCTATGGCTTTTCTCTTCGCTTTCACAAACCAATCCATCTCCCATTCTAAGTTACGTCCTTTGGCTGTTTACTGTTTTATTTATTTTCTTTTTCTGCTGATGACCCGCGCTCGACTTGAAGCAGCGCTGCTTAGACCGATGGGTGTGTGTCATCAAAGTACTGCGAGAGCTATAAGACAGGGCGGACATCTCCTTATGCTTTCTCTCACCGTACTTTGTCATACACCGATCGATCTTCAAGTCGAACACACCTCTTTACTCTCATGTGTCACGTGACCGAGTGTAATCTGCGATTGAAAAATCGCGATATCGCGATATTATCGCAAATGCAATTAGTCGTTCAGCCCTAATATAGATCAGTGGTTTCAGGCCCTATTTTGCAGTCTATTTGCGAAAAATGCCATTTAATGTTATTATGCACAGTCCTATTAATAATGTTAAAAGCAAATTAATTCACATCAGTCTATAATTTCTTCCTCAGTGCACCAGATTTGTTTGGTGTTAAGCTCCGTGAGGCACATTCTATGATGAATGTTTGTAATCAGAATTTATGTTTGTGTGGGTCGGTTGAGGCAGGCAGTCTAATCTCACAGAGTGTAGAGGATACATGTGGAACAGGCAGGGCAAGATGTTTCGTGTAGGCTTCAGGTCCCTATAGGCATGGAGCACATGATTCTTTATGCTGCTCTCACCTGCTGAGAACAGCAAACCTGGCATGAACTCGACACACAACTGTGCCTCCCTTTCTCTCTTTCTTGTTCTTTGCCTGCATCCTCTCTTGTGGGAAATGGGACCTTGCAGTCAGCAGAATATTCATCAGATAAATCTGCGAAAACACAACACGTTATTTATATAAATGCTTGCGCATTGTAGTATGCGAGATACAGAAATAAAAATTCACAAATGCAGACAGCCCATTGTCCTTTTCAATTTTTAAGTGACTGAAACTAATAAAAGTTTTCAACAGTTCCAAACAGCAGAATTAACTAGATTTGTTTTTCATTTTCGGAGAAAATGTGAGTCCTGCTTGTGTATACAAAACTTGGCACTGTAGTTTTCTGGGTGTTGCAAGGTGTTCAAAAAGTACCCTAAAAATTCTAGTTCCTGACGCTAAGACCGCCAGCTTTGGTGTCTAGGTCGTCTTGCAGAAGTAAAGCAGTAACGACTGCCTCAGTAAGGCACTGTGTTTTTTTTCTGTGTGTGTGCTTGTGGATGTGTAGGTCCCACCACCAGGGCCGTGCGTCACAGGCCGTGATGTGGGTAGAGTGTAAGGTGCTGGAGGCCGGCTGTGGAGGCAGAAGGAGGTCCCTGCGATCAACGGTCATGAGACTCCCCTGCTCCTTTTGGTTCCTGCTGCTGTTAGGCGCTGGAGGTCTTCTTCTTCTGCACCTACAGGACCTCACAGAGACACTACAGCAACAAAACCAAGGTCTGTCTAACATCGGACTCATTTTTGAAGAAAACGTTCACACTGTTAAAATGATCTGATCTTTGTGACTGTCAAAATATGTTTCATGTGATAGCCTCAAAATTAAGTGCTTTTATTCATGTAAAAATGGTATTTAATATGACTAAATACAACTTGCTGTTCACAAAGTTCAACAGAGATAAATCAGAGGAATCCAATAACACGTGTGGAAAACAATTTCCCTACATTAATTTTGATTTCATTTTAATTTTGATTGATCTAAATTAAAATATTAATTGTGATAAATTAAAGGAATCTCATAACACTTGTGGAAAATAATTTTAACCAACTAAATTAAAACATAATAGACACGTGACAAAGAATAATAATAATAATAATAATAATAAATACTACATGTAGAAATCTTTAAAAAATCAGAATATTAAATCATCTCCTTTAAGCTAAAAATTTATATGGATTAATTAGTAGGGGTGTAACGGTACACAAACATGTGTATAATACTGAAAAAAATACTGAAAATTATTATTATTTTCTTTTTAATTAAGCAATGTTTTACTGAACAAATTGCTCTTTCATTAAATCAATTCAATTATAATTAAATTTTTCTTTAAATCTACCTCATAAAATACATAAATAAATGTCCAAACTTAAATTTAATTACTATTTATTTTTAACTGTAATAATCATAACTCAAATTAAAAACTTGTATGCAAACATGCAAATTGCACTCAATACAGTTTTTAAATTAACTTCTAAATTATATGCTAAAATTTATATTTGTTGTTAAAATACAATAATTTACATAATCATTTAATATAATCATTTATAATCATTCATGTTTTTTTGCGTTAAAACTAGAAGTAAAGAGGAAGGGATGATTGCGCTCACTTGCACTTTGCGCTGCAGTCAGAACTGAGGCGTTTGCACAGCGAGCTTTCATGCCTCATCAAAGAGTGCCAAAACGGCATTTGTTGTCTGAATTTTCTGAAAAAATTTAATGATTTGTTCGGTACATGTGCGTACCGAACCGAAAGACTCGTACTCAGTGGCGACGTTTCACAAAACCATTGGGGGGGTGTTTCAGTTTTGATAAATAAAAAATCCAATGGCACACCACTAAGCACTGAAATATAGGAAAAAAGATGAAAATACAATTAAACACTGCACAGAGTTGGTATTGTGGCTTTATCAGACACTTAACATTTTATGAAAATCAAGATCAAATGGAGTTGGTTTTTGACCAACGAATGACGGAGATCTGTTTTGTCTGTCATTAGAACGGCTGTATCTGAGTTAGAGGTCTGCACAGGCTTTAAACTGAAGCCGAACCCGACCCGTACCCGAGATCGTCTGACCCAGCCCGACTCGACCCGAGCGGCACAGTTCAATTTAGAGCCCGAACGCGACCCGAACCTGAAATCTTTATTTTTCCTTCCCACAACGAATAGCCAATTTAGAAAAAAAAAGCTGTATTTCACGATTGCATGCAACGGTCAGTAAACAAATACATGTAAAGAAACAGAATCATTAAGGCTCGGCCAGTTCACAAGGCAAAAGAAAAAACACTTACCAGTTATGAAAGTTTATGAACATCAGGTGCCTCGATCACATAAATTCTGCCGAGTTTTTGAATGGTTGTATACGACAAGACGATAATTCATCGTGCAAATTATGGTCATTTTCGTCAGTTAAGGCTCGTTAGCATTCAGCCTGCTTTAAATCAGACACAGAGATGCAGTGCGGTAAGATCGCATTTATTTGAATCAATTAATTATATCATTTATTTGAATTAGCGAGAGAGAGAGAGAGAGAGAGAGAGAAAGATAGAGAGAGATGAATGTTTCGTGTGTGAACCTGCGTCTGCGCGCCTCTCTCTACAAGCAATGAGGCTTAGTTCCTTCAAAAACAGCGATTTTACCCCCTCATTGCAGAGAAATATAAAGTTGCGAGTCAGTAGCCTGTCGAAGCTATTTTACTAATAAAAGTTTCCGTGCTGTGTTGTCGTGTGCTATAATGTGTGTGCGTGCGTCTATGAAAGTAGCGTAGCCTAGGCTACTGCATATAGTTTTAGTTTAGCTATAAACCCGAGCCGACCCGTGCCGTCAGGTAGCAGACCTCTAATCTGAGTGCATCGCATTAAACGCTTTCAGCAACTTACAGGTTATAACTTTTATTGTAGCTATATTGGTGCTTAGTTTTTCTTGTCGTTTAATACACTTGGCCAAAATATCATGATATAAACAATGAAGCGCTATATTTAAAACGTACACAAGTACAGGCCTATTGGCTACAACTAGACGGCAAAAGCTTAGACTCTTCTCCGCTCTTCAAACGCACAAAAAAATTCGCCTTTACAGACATAGAGTGCGTCTCAATCAGCTCCCTAGCTCCCGAGCTTGTGAATCAGCATATCGTGTACACGAATTCGGTCACTGGTAAGTTCCCTGACTCACTGCACGTTGGGACAGTGATCACTCGAATTCCAGTGACATGACTATGTATAATGTCAACGGACAACATTGTAGAACGTCACCGCATGAATTAATAAACAACAGAAAGGACGATCTCTTTTTGATATTATTTTTTATTCTCTTTAAACACATCGTTCTGTTACATGTTCTTACAACATTTCAGTCGAATATTAATTATAAATGTTAATTAGATGTGTTAATTTCCTGTCTAGCGATGTGTGTTTAGTGTATGCCGATGCTCCCTAGTTTTTGCGGTGCATTGTGGGATTTTTCATGGAGAGAACGTTCCAGTGCACTGGAAGGATTTTGCAATTGAGACAGCCCTTAAAATGGCCGACTCCCTAATCAGTGCCCTGACTACTTAATAAGGGAGCTGATTGAGATGCACCCATAGTGTTTGAGTAAAGAAACGCTGTACTTATTCAAACATCAGTTATTTATTTACCCTTGAATTGCGAATAAGCGGAGATCTATCTCCTCCAGGCTGTGCGTGGCGCGTCAATCTGAATGGAGGCGGGGTAAAGTTACGAGGATTCGCTGACAGTTTGAGGATCCAATGACGTTACGAGCTTCAGTGACAAGCTCTTTTTAATGCTTTTCATTGGAAAAATATTTGTAAAACCCACAAAAAGACATAAGGAAGACCAATTATTTAAAATAATAATAACAAAATATATAGAGATATGAAGTTTGGATAATTTTTCACGGCACATCTGACTGGGCTAAGGTATGGCAACTGCCATACGGAAACGCCACCCCTGCCCATACCGAAGTTTTTCAGTACAAATACATGCACCGTTACACCCCTATTAATAAGTTATCCTATATATAAGACATGGTGAATTCCCAGTGTACACCACAGTTGTTCTCTGCAAGAGCTAATGCTGTGTTTGATTACTGCCATTTTTCGGTTTATTTGAAGTGCTAGCATGTGGTGAAGTGGGCTTTAAAACTCACTGTGACTTCCCTGCAGAGCCATCAAAAGCTGCTAATATTGTCTGTTTCCATCTTGCGACAGAGGACAATTGTTAGCTGAGCGCGGAAGCTCATGAGAATGATATTATACTGAGTGCGAGAGACGCGGGGGAGATATTGTGACGTTGTCTCTCGGAAATGTGGGTCAATGAAAAACACTACAGAAGGTCTTAAAGGAAATTTGCCTGTCAGCCTCACTGCTGTTTGTTGGTGCAGTATTTAACCTTTTCATTTTAAATCAAATTGATTTGCTGGGAAACGATTTTAAAATGCGTTTATGGCGACGCATACATTTTTAAATTGTAGTAACTTCCACAGGGACACCGTCAAGTTCAGTTTAAATAGAAAAAAATCATTTTAATTCATATAAAACAGTCTTTTACAGTAAATTGTTCATGAGTTGTCATTCCTGACATTGCCTACACATCCTGAGTAATTGAACTTTTACATGAGCCTCGAGCTTAAATGCTTGACAAGATACAAACAATTTATGTAGAACTTCCCTAAATGCATTACATTTGAGACGTTTGTTGCCAAAAAAAGCAGAGCACTTTAGCGCATTAGAATCTAATTAGTGAATGACTAAACTGAGATGATTGAATCTTACGTTACTATTGACTGAGGGATTGTGTAAGCAGTCATTGGTGGGGAAGCTAAATAACAGTTCAATAGTGCCCTGGAAAGGGAGTCTATTCAGTTTCATCTCTCCTGTGCTGATTGATCTGTCTCTCCATACCCTCTGATCTAACCCGCCCAGTCAATGACAGCTGTCTCTGTGGACCCTGAATCATTGGCAGCGAAACTGCGGTTCAAACTAAGTTTTGGCACAGAGGTATTTCAATCTGTTGCGGGCTTGTGGGGTTTTTCCATTTTAGAAGAATAATTTTTTAAAAATATTTCTACTAAACTTAGCTATATTTGTTCAAAATTATGTTGGGGACAAACAGATACTTGGCAGAATACATTGTAAAATACAATAAAATATATTACTGGTTACTGAACTCTTTCCCCGCCAAAGACGTAATTTTCCGGGTTTCCACGTTCTCACTCTTATATGCTAAGGGGCGCTATTAAGCATCTCCTGAATGAGTCCCGATAAAAAACACAGACGAGGAAGACGTTGAAAGGAGCGATCTCATTTGTAAGCAGATGCATATGAAAAATAATGCGATCATCAACAATTAACAGCATATAAATGAAACTGCCTAAAATTACTGAGTGAAATATCGATCCAGGAAGTGGCAAAGGACTGTGCAAGCTTTGGGGGTGCTGATGGAAGCGATCTACTGCATCTTTGCTTTGATCATCATATTGAATATGATCCAGATGCAGTATTTGATAAAAATCTTCTCAGCTTTTTGCTCAAAATGTTGCTTTTTTTTAATGAAACTTACCTACATTCAAGTGTTGATTAAAAAGAATGCTTGAAGATAGAATACAACTTTTTTTGTTTAAAAGTAGAGGCTCTGTTCTTTATTTTGATGTATTGCATGTTCAGATATGCATGCAACAAAATATTCTGGGGGTCATGAAATTTTGGTGAAAATGATCAAA